ATTTGCCGAGCTATGGCCGCCCGGAGATGACGTCTCTCGTCGCGCGCGCCGACGACGCCATGGAAGGCGATAAGGCCGCGCGCTGCGACGCCGACGCGCGCCGCATCGCCGACGCCGCCATGGAAGGCGATAAGGCCGCGCGCTGCGACGCCGACGCGCGCCGCATCGCCGACGACTTCTGCGCGCGGCTGGCGGAGGCGTCGCGCGCCGGCGCGTCCGCCGTCGACGCCCTCGTGCTCGACCCGGCGCTGGCGGCGGCGCTGGCCGACGACAGCCTCGACGCGCTCGCGGCGCCCGTGCTCGACGCGGGCCTCGCCCGGAGCCTGCCCCTGCTCTCGGACGCGGCCGCCGCCGCCGTCGCCGCCGAGCTCTTCGGCGGCCCGCCGACCCCCTCCGCGGCGCCCGCGCGGGGCGCGCTGCCGGACGCGGCGCGGCCCGCCACGTCGGCCGTCGCCGGCGCGCTCCGGGACCGCGCGCTGCCGGCGCTCGGCCGGCTCTTCTCCGCCGCGCCGCTCGCGCCGCGCGGCCGCGCCTACACGCTTCGCTACGCGGCGCGCGCGCCCGCGGCCGACGGCGGCCGCGTGCACCGCATGCACCAGGACGACAGCGACCTGACCCTCGCCGTCGCCGTCGGCGGGCCCTGGCGGGGCGCGGACCTCACGTACGCGCGCGACGCGGCGGGCCGCCCGGGCACGCCGGAGCCGGGCGGCCGCGGCGTCGAGGCCGCGACGCACGCGCACGCGCCGGGCCGCGGCGTCGTCCACGTCGGCGACGCCTACCACCGCGTCGAGCCCCTCGCGAGCGGCGCGCGCGGCACGCTCGTCCTCATGAGCATGCGCGACGACGCGGCCTGGAAGCGGCGCTACTACGACGACGACGGGGAGTAGGCATGTGTTTTTTTTTTTTTTGGAGCTGGGCGGCGTTTAACGGCGTCGTGCCGGTGCGAGGGCGGAGTCCTTCGACGCCTACTTCGGATGGCGTCCATTTTTTTTTTTCAAAACACGCGGTTGAACGGCAAGCCACCCACCCACAATCCGAGAATTTGGGCCTTCGCGTTCACTGTTTCGCGTCGCGGGGCGACATCAACCCACCCCGCCGTGACAAGTGCATCCACGCGATAAGCCCGAGGGACCCACGACGGAAAGAAAATGCGCCGCGTCCTCCGCCTGGCGGTCATCCTCAGCGCCGCGGCCCTCTCCCCCTTCCGCGGGTTGAAGGGTTCGCTCGGCAAGCGGGACCGGAGTTCCTTCATCTCGCCCAAGGCGGCGGCCCCGGCGGCCGCGCCGCCGAAGACCCGGGGCCTCTTCGGCCGGCAAGGCGCGCGCGCGGCGCGGCCGCCGCGCCGCGCCGAGCTCGACGCGTCGACCGTGCTGCGCGCGGCGGCCGAGGCGACGCCCCCCCCCTCCGCCGACGAGCAGCTCGCGCTCCGGGCGACGCTCGCGGCCCTGCGCCACGAGCTCGACGCGCTCAGGGTGGCCTACCGGGATCTGGAGGGCGCGCACGCGGCCACGCGCCGGGAACTGGCGCGCGCGCGCGCGAACGTCACGGCCCTCGCCGCCGACGCGGCCAAGGCCGAGCGGCTCAAGCGGCGCATGCAGATCGAGGTGCACCAGCTGCGCGACGTCGCGCAGACGGCGACGACGAAGGCGCTCCGCGCGGACGCGGACGCGAAGCGCCTAGCGAGCCGGCGGCCCGCGACGCGCCCGGCGCCGGCGCCGGCGCCCGCCCCGCTCGAGGAGGCGCCGGGGGCGCTGACGCCCGAGGCGCGCGCGGCGCGGATCCGCGAGCGGACGCTCGCGGCGGCGATGGAGGCGCCGGAGCCGCCGGGCGCGCCGACGCCCCTCGAGCGCGCCGCGCGGCTCCGGGAGCGGACGCTCGCGGCGGCGGCAGAATTACCAGAGCAGCTGTCGCAGGAGGAGCGCGCCGCGCGGCTCCGGGAGCGGAGCCTGCGGAGCCGCGAGGCCAAGGCCCGCGCGCTCGGCGGCCGCGCGCCGCGGCGGCCCGCGGCGATCACGGGGTCGTTCCAGCGCGGCATGACCGCCGAGGAGGTGCGCACGCCCGCGCCCATCCTCGAGTCGCTCCACGCCGCGCCGCGCGCGGCCGCGCGCCGCGCGGCGCCCGCGCCGCCCGCGCCGCGGCCGTCGACGATCGTCCAGCGCCGCCCGATCCGGCCCGGCGGCGCCCGGCCCTTCGACTCGCTGCCCACGAAGCTCGCCCGCGGCTCGACGCTCTACCAGCAGCTGCAGATGGAGGCCGCGCGCGGCCGCGGCCTCGCGCGCGCCGAGCCCGCCGAGGCCCGGCGCGCGCGGCCGGGCCTGCTGCTCCCCTTCGAGTCCGACGTCTGGGGCTTCACGCCGGACCCGCCCAAGGCGCCGCCGCGCCGGCCGGCGCCGCGGACCGCGACGATCCTCGCGCGCATGGGCGGCGCCTCCGAGGTCTACCGCGAGGCCCAGCTCCGCCACGTCGCGGCGCGCAAGGCGGCGCCGCGCGCGGCGCGCAACGAGCCCGACGCCGCCGACGCCTACGACCCGCGGGGCATCGACGTGTAAGATTATAGGCTGTCGCTGTGTCTTCAACATCGCATGGTGTCGCCTCGTTGCCTTCCGGTTGCTGCTGACACAGAGCGTGAAGCACGATGGCCACGCGCGCCGTCCTCTGCCTGCTCCTCCTGGCGCCGGCCACGCCGCTGCGGCCCCTGCGCCCCGCGACGTCCCTGCGCCGGTCCCTGCGGCGCAGGTCCAACAGCGACGACCTGCTCTCGGAGGCGGCGCAGCTGCGCGCCGAGATCTCGGCCCTCGAGGCCGGCGCCGCCACGGCCGCGCCGCCGCCGGTCGTCGCGGCCGTCGCAGCCTCTGCTTCCGAGTTCGCGCCCGCCGCGGCGACGCGCGACGCGTTCCTCGCGACGCTCGGCAGCTTGAAGGCCGACGGCAAGGCGCCGGCGTGGGCGTCGCGGGAGCTCGTGGCCGCGGGCGCCGAGGTGCCGACGGAGGCGCGCGTGCGCGCCGCGACGGGCATCAACGGCGCCAAGGACCTCCTCGCGCAGGAGGAGGTCGGCAACGACGAACTGTTGCAGATCACGGCGTTCGTCTTCGTGACGTCGGCGATCCTCGCGGTCGGCAGCGGCGCGCTGATCGGCGGCAACCTCGGCGCGGCTTTCACGTATATCTTCGCCGTGCTGCCCATCATCTTTCTAGGGGTGGGCAGTTCGAGCCCCGGCGTGATTCTCGCCGTCTACGGCGCGACGAAGCAGGCGAAGGAGAACACGGCGCCGCGGCGCCGCCGCCACGAGGCCGCGCACCTGGTTGCCGGCTACGCGTTAGGCCTGCCCGTCGCCGCCTACGCCGACGACGCCGTCGAGTTCTACGACGGCCCGGGCCCGAAGAGCCGCGACGACGCGGAACGCCTCGCGTGCGTCGCGCTCGCCGGCGCCGTGGCGGAATGCGACGCGTTCGGCGAGGCCAAGGGCGCCCAGGACGACTTCGCGAACCTCCAGCGCCTCTTCGACCGCGTCGAGCCGCGCCTCACGCCCGCGGAGCAGCAGGCGGCGACGCGGCGCGGCGTGCTCAACGCCTACAGCGTCCTCTTCGGGAGCCGCGCGCGGCGGGACGCGTCCCTCGTCGACGCCGCGGACGACGCCATGGCGGCGGGCGCGTCGCTCCCGGAGCTCCTCGCCGCCGTCGAGGCCGCGGCCGCGGCCAAGTGAGACGCGCTAAGCAACTTAGGCGAGGTCCGCGTCGAGCTTCGCGCAGATGCGGCAGAGCGCGGTGTACTTGTAGGCCGTCATGTCGAGGGTCTTCTGGAAGGCCGCGCGCGCGGCGGGCGTGTCCCGGCCCGGCGACCGCCAGGCGAAGTGCGCGTCGTAGGCGGCCCGGTCCCGGGCCAAAACCCGGAGCCGCGCGGCGAGCTCCGCGACGTCGTCGCCGAAGTCGGAGAACTTGAGGACCGCGCCGCCTCCGGGCATGAGCCGGTCGACGCGCTCCGCGCCGCGGTAGAGCGGCAGCGCGCCGGCTAAGATCGCGTCGTAGACCTTCTCCGACACGTAGTCCTTGACGATCGCGTTCTCGAAGGCCAACGCGAACTTGTAGCGCGCGAGGAGCTTCCGCTTCGCGTCGCCGCGGTTCTCGCCCTTTTTGAGCTTCGGCTCGTCGATGTTGTGGAGGCACTTGCCGTAGGAGTGGACCGGGTAGGACCGGTTCAGCGCGGCCAGGAGGCGCAGCCGCTCCTCCGCGCCCGCGTTCTTGCAGTTGGACACGAACGCGGCGACGGCGTCGTCGCGCTGGCCCCAGGGCAGCCCCTTGGCCGGCTCGAAGTAGTGGGGCGCGTCCCAGTGCGGGTGGATGGAGATCATGGGCAGCGTGCTGTCCAGGTCGTACGTCATGACGTAGTCGAAGCGCCGGACGTAGTTCTTGTTGCGGAGGAGCGGCGCGTACTTCTCCTGCTCGAGGCTCACGAGCATGTACTTGGCGTTCTTCGGCTTCTTCGCGGGGAAGTCCGCGGCGCTGTGCGTCTTGGCGTGGAAGAGGACGCCGTGCGCCCGGTCGAGGCCCCGCCGGCCCTCGCTGAAGACGCACTCCGTCGAGCACTTGCTCCGCGCGTCCGTCACAAAGTCGGGCCGCAGCCAGTCGAGGTAGCCCTTGATCTTGTTGTAGACGACGACGCGGATGGTCCGGCGGGGGGCGCTGCTCGCCGGGTCCCGCAGGTAGGGCAGCGGCCGCGCCGTGCCGTTCGCGGGCCGCGGCGGCGGCGGCGGCGCGGCCGGCGCCGCGCGCGCGGCCGCGGCCGGCGCCGCGGCCGGCGCCGCGGGTGCGACCGGCGCGACCGGCGCCGCGGGCGCCGAGCTCCGCGCGCTCAGCTCCGCCGCGGCCTCGATGGCCGCCTGGCGCATGTCGCGCTCGTGGCGCGCGCGGTGCTCCGAGAGCTCGAGCTGGGCGAAGGTGAGCTGCTTCTCGAGGAGGCCCGCCTCGAAGCGCGTCCGCGCGAGGTCGCGGCCGTCGCGCGCCGCCTCCCGGCGCTGGACGCGCACGCAGAGCAGCGCGACGAGCAGGCCCGCGGCGACGGCGCCGGCGCGCTGCAGCCCCATAGCTGCCCCAATTAAGGCCCGGATCGTTGATGTTTGGTGTGTGGTTTGAGACTGTTGAAAACGAATGGTGTGTGGTTTGGAGGCATCAAAAATCGACAATTGATGTGTGGTTTGGGGGCCGCGAGACGGCAGCAGCACGTTCGGCGCGCGTTCTCAGCCACAATGGTGTGTGGTTTGGGCTGCCAGCATTCGAGTGGTTTGTGGTGTGAGCTCAGCGACTCGGAATCACATCACCGAGCCGGGTCGTCCAATTGATTCATCAACCGGCCCACGCTCCGCCGGGGGTTCGCGAGACGACGTCGACGGGGGCGGCTGCGGTCTTACTGCAGTCGATGGCAAGTCTCCGGGGACGGGCGAGACCGTCCCCGCCGAGCGACCACCGCGGCTCGTCGACCGCGGCGCGGTCGGAGCCCCCGGGCCCGAGTCGTCGCCGGTCGGCGGCGCCACGGCCGCAGCCGCGCCCCGGAGCAAGTGACACCAGCTGCGCCTTACGTAGGAGCGTCCATCGAGCGAGGTCCGCGTCGCGCGTCGACGGCGCCGGCCGGAGCGGCGGCCGCGGGCCCTCGCGTCGACGACCGTCGCCTATTGCGGGAGGAGCGTGAAGTCGCCGGAGAAGGGGATCATGGTGTTGATGTCGGAGTGGGGGAAGGTCGGGATGGACGAGAGGAGGGGCACGGAGCCCGGGACCTTGGACTCGGCGATGAAGCCGAAGATGCCGAACATGGCCGCGCGGCCGTTGAGGATCTCCGACTTGAGGCCGCGCGCGCGCTTCTCCGCGGACCGGTCGCGCATGCCGAAGTTGAAGGGGTCGTAGAGGTTGAGCACGAGCTGGCCGTTGTTCTTGCCGCGGATCTCGGGGTAGTAGCCCGGCACGCCGCCCTTCATGTAGTGCACGTAGGAGTCGTCGCCCGCGCCCTCGCCGTAGGACTCGAGCATGCCGATGGCGATGAAGATCTGGAGCTTGCCCAGGAGGGGGATGTTCGCCCACTGCTCCTGGGGCGACACGTTGGCCACGTAGCCCCGGTACGGCGCGAACGTGTGCTCGCCCGCGACGAGCGGCGTCGACTGCGCGATGAAGCCGAGGAACGCGGCCATGGCGACGCGGCCGTGCTTGATCTCCGCGTGGCGCAGGAAGGCCACCGTGGCGTCGTTGCCCACCGTGGCGTCGACGTTGCCGAGGGCGTAGTCCTGGTCCGCGAGGCCCAGGGGATCCCAGAAGGACGTGCCCGGGCCCGGGAGGCTGTCGGCGAGGGCGAGGAGGTCCTCCTTGCCGCCGTTGAGGGCGCTGGACGACGACCGCGTCACGGGCGCCACGTAGGCGGCCGCGCCGGAGAGGCAGAGGGCGAGCGCGAGTTTCGAGGCCATATTTTGTTGATGTGCTGTGATCTGCTCGACGAAGCGATCCTTTGGTGTCGAAGCCATCCTCGGCAACGTCGCCTCGTATCTTTTTGGGCGGTGCCCAAACGCACGGATCGTGAGGCTGCCCTTGAAAAAGCCGCATCTTTTTTATGTGCCGACGCAGAAACCTTGAGGTCGTCGGTTGCCGTAGCGATGACGTCCTCGGCTCAGAGCTTCATGAGGACGGGATCCCCATCGAAGCCTCGACGGTCGGTTGCCGTGCCCGTCGAACAACTCCATCGCCCGCCTCCGAGGCATCGCTGCGGACCGACAGCGCTGCCCCCGAGCCGGCCGACCGGCGGGCGTTCGACGAGCGGCGGCGCCGCCGCCATGGGGCCCGCGCGGTCCCCGGCGCGGGACGCCGGGGCTGCCCCCCGGGTGAAGAAGAGCCGGACGATGAAGGGCGCGGCGCTGCCCGCGGAGCAGGCCCTGGCCCGCCAGATGTGGCTCGCCGACTCGCTGACGTCGCTGCGGTCGCTGCTCGCGGCCCCGGGGCCCTTCCGCGACGCGTTCCGCGCCTTCCTCGCAGCGGACCGCGCCGACGCCGAGCTCGACTTCTACGTCGGCGTCCTCGCCATGCGCGCCCTGGACGACGCCGGCGACGCCGACGACAAGGCCGACGAGCTCCACGAGCTCTACCTCGCCGACGTCGGCGACGGCATCGGCCAGCAGCAGCGCACGAAGGCGACGCAGCGCCTCTGGGCGACCGCGCGGAAGAAGGGCAACGCCGCGTCCGGCAGCGTGCGGCGCACCGTGGAGAAGGAGGCCGAGCGGACGCTCCAGAGCCTCGCCTTCGACGCGTTCCCCCGGTTCCTGAAGACGGATCTCTGCTCCAAGGCCATGAAGGCCATGAAGAAGAGCGGCGGCAAGTCGGCGACGGACGCGGCCCTCGCGGACAACCTCGAGAAGATGGGCTCCATGGCGCCCCAGGACGCCGACGAGTGGCTGTCGTCGTTCATCTCCTTCGCCGAGACCTGGCCCGCGTGCATCGTCGTGAGCGACATGACGATCCCCGGCGCGCCGATGGTCTACGTGAACCCCGAGTTCTGCCGCGTGACCGAGTACCCGCGCGAGGAGGCCGTCGGGCGGAACTGCCGCTTCCTCCAGGGCCCCGACACGGAGCCGGAGTCCATCCAGGTCATCCAGGAGACGCTCTGCAAGGGCGAGGACTGCCACGTGCTCCTCACGAACTACCGCAAGTCGGGCGACAAGTTCAAGAACCTCCTCTCCATGCGGCCCGTCTACGACGCGGACGACGTCTACCGGTACACGATCGGCGTCCAGTTCGAGGTCGAGAAGGACAACAGCCCGGCCAAGCTCCAGCAGCTCAACAAGCTCCTCCAGATGCTCCCGAAGAAGCTCAACCTCCGCAGCGCCAAGGTCGCGCGCGATCGCGGCCGCCTCGCCGCCCGGACCGACGGCGGCGCCAATGGAGCTCTTGTTGCTGAAAAGGAAGAGCGAAGACATGGAAGGAAAGACGAGTCGGAGTGGGCAGCTTCAATCTTTGCCCTCACGCGGATCCGGTGGCTCGCGTCCGCCGTGGCGACTGTGCGAGGACTCGTGCAGGACGCGGCGATGGGGAAGATGCTCGCGGACTTCGCGGCCGAGCACGGCTCGCCCCTCACGCAGACGCACGTCCAGTTCGCTCGGGAGGCGGCCGACGTCCTGCGGGACGACCTCGAGAGCAAGGCGTCGAAGAAGCAGCTGCGCAAGCTCCATCTCCGCATGCGGCACAACCCGATCTTCTACTGCACGCGGACGGAGATCGTCATCGGCGACATCGACGAGACGGCCTGGGAGCCGATCCGCAAGGAGGTCGCCTGGGGCCTCGACGTGTCGACCAAGTTCCTCGCCGCGGACCTCCTCCCGCGCGTCCTCCGCTCCGAGACGGGCCGCTCCATCGTCGAGCACGTGCGCCGACAAGAGCAAATACATGAGACGCAGGTCATTCATACTTGCGCCCACGGCGTGTCGACGGAGACGAGCGACGAGCGGTACTGGCTGGACATGTTCTCGGGGGTCGCGTCGTCGCTCGAGGACGTCGGCGTCGTCGTGTCGGACATGCGGGTGCCCGGGATCCCGCTGGTGGCCATCAACGAGCCCGGGTTCCGGAACCAGACGGGCTACGGCCCGGAGCAGATCGGGAAGAAGTGCACCTTCCTCCAGGGCCCCGAGACGGAGCAGTACCTCATCGACGAGATCGTGGACGCGCTGCGCGAGTGCAAGGGCCTCGCGGTGAAGCTGACGAACGTGAAGAAGGACGGGTCGGCGTTCCAGTGCTACCTGGCGCTGCACCCTGTCTTCGGCGCCAACGGCGAGTACCTCTACCAGGTCGGCGCCCAGGTCGACATGACGGGCCGCCCGAGCGACGTCTGCGCGCAGCTCAAGACGCTCGAGCTCCTGCTCCAGCTGCTGCCGTCGAGCATCTTGTGCCGTTCCGAGGCGGACATGCAGCGCGGCGTCATGGCCCTCAGCGCGAGCGGCGACACGTCGGCCTTGGCGCTGCCGTCGCCGCCCCCGGTCGACGCTCCGGTCGACGCGGATGTCCGCGCTGCTGTCAGAGAAACAGTCGAAACAGCAACCGGCGAGAATCGCGACATGTACGGGAAGAAGCTTGGCGAAAAGCACGCGAGCGCGCTTCGGAAGCTGAACAAGAGCGCGTGGCTCACGGACGCGGACCGGTCGATGCGCGTCCTGCTCGGCCGCGAGGACGCGCGGGCCGCGTTCAAGTCGTTCCTCGCGAGCGAGTACAACGAGCAGGCCCTCGACTTCTACCTCGAGGCGCAGAAGCTCGTCAAGCTGGCCCCGAACCAGCAGGCCAGCGAGGCGCAGCGACTGTTGGACACGTACATGGGCGCGGCTCCCCCGAAAAAGGGGTCGCGCGGCATCGGCCAGCAAGACCGCACCAAGGCGACGTCGACGCTGTGGGACGGCGCGAAGAAGGGGAGCGTCAAGTCGAAGACCGACGCGTACGTGGCCGTCCAGAAGGAGGCGCAGAACACGTTCAAGATGCTCGTCGTCGACAGCTTCCCTCGTTTCGTGCAGAGCAGCTACGCCAAGTCGCTCGGCGCGTCCTTGGCGGGCCCGGACCTCGCCAAGGTCCGCGACGCGGACGAGTGGCTGAGCGCCTTCACGCAGATCGCCGAGACCTGGCCCGCGTGCATCGTCGTGAGCGACATGACGATCCCCGGCGCGCCGATGGTCTACGTGAACCCCGAGTTCTGCCGCGTGACCGAGTACACGACGGCCGAGGCCGTCGGAAGGAACTGCCGCTTCCTCCAGGGCCCCGACACGGAGCCGGAGTCCATCGGCGTCATCCAGCGCACCCTGGGCAAGTGCGAGGACTGCCACGTGCTCCTGACGAACTATCGCAAGTCGGGCGAGAAGTTCAAGAACCTCCTCTCCATGCGGCCGGTGCTGGATGCGGACGACGTCTACCGGTTCGTGATCGGCGTCCAGTTCGAGGTCATCGAGGACGACAACTTGCCCATGCGGCTCGGCCAGCTGGACAAGCTGCTGCGCATGCTGCCGAAGAAGCTGCCGGTGCGCGGGGGCACTCGCAAGGTCGAGGTCGAGGAGACCCGGGCGGTGGAGATGACGGAGGAGCACTGCGTGGCGTCCATGTTCGCGACGACGAAGCTCAAGTGGCTCTCGAAGCCCGCGGAGGCCGTGCGCGGCCTCGTGAGCGACCCGGAGAGCGCGGCCGCGCTCGAGCGGTTTGCCGCGAGTAAGTCGCCCCTGGGCCTGTGCGCGGTCAAGTTCCTCCAGGACGCGGACGCGCTGTCGCGGGTCAAGGGCCGCCGCCGGGACAAGTTGGCGCGGAAGCTGTTCATGCGGATGTGGCAGAATCCGCTCTTCTACTGCACGACGACGGAGATAGTCATCGGAGACATCGACACGACGGACTGGGCCCCGATCCTCAAGGACGTCAAGCAGTGGTCGGCGCGCTGGCAGGACATCGTCGGCGAGTGCTGCCTCCGCCCCTTCCTCGACTCCGAGGAGGGAGCGCGCGCGGTGCTCGCGTTCCGCGAGCGGGAGCGGTCGGCGCCTCCGCCGGAGGAGGACGAGGCGCCCCTGCTGTCGACGAGCGCTCTGGGCCTCGATGCGCGGAGCGGCACGTTCTGGCTCGGCATGGTCGACGCGATGAGCGCGAGCATGGCCGACGTCGGGCTCGTCGTGTCGGACATGCGCGTCCCGGGGATCCCGCTCTGCCTCATCAACGAGGGCTTCGAGGCGACGACGGGCTACGGGAAGGACATGGTCGGGCAGAAGTGCAGCTTCCTCCAGGGCGCGGAGACGCCGACGTACCTCATCGAGGAGATCGTCGACGCCCTGCGGGGCGGCGAGTCGCTCGTCGTCAAGCTGCCGAACTACAAGCGCGACGGGGAGTCGTTCCAGTGCCTGCTGACGCTCAAGCCCGTCTTCGACGCCTGGGACAAGTACAGCTACTGCGTCGGAGCCCAGGTGGACCTGACGGACGCGTCGGTGCCCGTGGACCGGCTCGTCTCGCGCCTCCGCGCGATGTCGGACGTCGGCCGCGTCCTCCCCGAGGGCATGGGCGGCAAGCGGTTCCGCACGGACCACACGGAGGAGGTCGTCTCCTCGGTCCGTGACGTCACCGTTGTGCCCCTGAACAAGTCCGGCGAGAAGATCACATACCTGACGCCGTCCTTCGATTCCGACGTCGCCGCCCCGGCGACGTTCGTCGAACCCAAACACGCCAAGAAGTCGAAGCACATCAAGGGCACGAGGCTCAAGCGGTCGTCGAAGCAGAAGGTCCTCGCCCAGCAGATGTGGCTCGCCGACTCGCTCACGTCGCTGCGGTCGCTGATCGCGGCCCCCGGACCCTTCCGCGACGCGTTCCGCAAGTTCCTCGAGACGGAGCAAGCGGACGCGGAGCTCGCGTTCTACGTCGACGTCCTCGACATGCGCGCTACAGACGACGCCGCGGCGAAGGAGAAGAAGGCGGAGGAGCTCCACGAGCTCTACCTCGCGGAGGTCGGCGACGGCATCGGCCAGCAGCAGCGCACGAAGGCGACGCAACGGCTCTGGGCCTCCGCGCAACAAAAAGGGAATTCTCTGACGGGGCGGGCCGTGATGAAAGCCGTAGAAAAAGAAGCCGAGCGGACCCTCTCGAGCCTGGCCTTCGACGCGTTCCCCCGCTTCCTGAAGACGGACTTTTGCTCCAAGGCTATGCAAGAAATGAGGCAGAGCGGAGGTGGCAAGTCGGCGACGGACGCGGCCCTCGCGGACAACCTCGAGAAGATGGGCTCCATGGCGCCCCAGGACGCCGACGAGTGGCTGTCGTCGTTCATCACATTTGCTGAGACCTGGCCCGCGTGCATCGTCGTGAGCGACATGACGATCCCCGGCGCGCCGATGGTCTACGTGAACCCCGAGTTCTGCCGCGTGACCGAGTACCCGCGCGAGGAGGCCGTCGGGCGGAACTGCCGCTTCCTCCAGGGCCCCGACACGGAGCCAGAGTCGATCCAGGTCATCCAGGAGACGCTCTGCAAGGGCGAGGACTGCCACGTGCTCCTCACGAACTACCGCAAGTCGGGCGACAAGTTCAAGAACCTCCTCTCCATGCGGCCCGTCTACGACGCGGACGACGTCTACCGGTACACGATCGGCGTCCAGTTCGAGGTCGAGAAGGACAACAGCCCGGCCAAGCTCCAGCAGCTCAACAAGCTCCTCCAGATGCTCCCGAAGAAGCTCAACCTCCGCAGCGCCAAGGTCGCGCGCGACCGCGGCCTCCTCGCCGCCCGGACCGACGGCGGCGCCAACGGCGCTTTGGTTTCTCAACCCTCTGCTGCTATTGCGACGCCGAAGATCGAGTCTTCCTGGAGCGCGACAGTGTTCGCTCTCACGCGGATCCGGTGGCTCGCGTCCGCCGAGGCCTCGGAGGACACGGTGCGAGGACTCGTGCAGGACGCGGCGATGGGCAAGATGCTCGCGGACTTTGCGGCCGAGCACGGCTCGCCCCTCACGCAGACGCACGTCCAGTTCGCTCGGGAGGCGGCCGACGTCCTGCGGGACGACCTCGAGAGCAAGGCGTCGAAGAAGCAGCTGCGCAAGCTCCATCTCCGCATGCGGCACAACCCGATCTTCTACTGCACGCGGACGGAGATCGTCATCGGCGACATCGACGAGACGGCCTGGGAGCCGATCCGCAAGGAGGTCGCCTGGGGCCTCGACGTGTCGACCAAGTTCCTCGCCGCGGACCTCCTCCCGCGCGTCCTCCGCTCCGAGACGGGCCGCTCCATCGTCGAGCACGTGCGCCATTCCGAGCTCAAGGGCCTCGAGACGCACCTCCACACGTGCGCCCACGGCGTGTCGACGGAGACGAGCGACGAGCGGTACTGGCTGGACATGTTCTCGGGGGTCGCGTCGTCGCTCGAGGACGTCGGCGTCGTCGTGTCGGACATGCGGGTGCCCGGGATCCCGCTGGTGGCCATCAACGAGCCCGGGTTCCGGAACCAGACGGGCTACGGCCCGGAGCAGATCGGGAAGAAGTGCACCTTCCTCCAGGGCCCCGAGACGGAGCAGTACCTCATCGACGAGATCGTGGACGCGCTGCGCGAGTGCAAGGGCCTCGCGGTGAAGCTGACGAACGTGAAGAAGGACGGGTCGGCGTTCCAGTGCTACCTGGCGCTGCACCCGGTCTTCGGCGCCAACGGCGAGTACCTCTACCAGGTCGGCGCCCAGGTCGACATGACGGGCCGCCCGAGCGACGTCTGCGCGCAGCTCAAGACGCTCGAGCTCCTGCTCTCGCTGCTCCCGTCGAGCCTGCTCTGCGACTCGTCGTCGGACTACCGGCGCGTGCTGCGCCTGACGCCCAACGGCGGCGACTGCAGCGGGGACGCGCTCCCCGCGCCGCCCGCGGCCGCGCCGCGCGCCGCGGCGTCGCCCGCGCCGCCCGTGCGGACGGCCGCGGGCGAGGACCGCGACATGTACGGGAAGAAGCTGGGCAAGAAGCACGCCGACGCGCTCCTGAAGCTCAACGAGAGCGCCTGGCTCACGGACGCCGACGCGTCGCTCCGGGCCCTGCTGTCGAAGATGGAGGGCCGCGCGGCGTTCACGGCGTTCCTCGCGACGGAGTACAACGAGCAGTCGCTCGACTTCGTCCTCGAGGCGCAGAAGCTGAGCCGCAAGAAGCTCAACGAGAAGAAGCAGGTCCAGGAGGCCCAGGTCCTCTACGACAAGTACCTCGCGAAGAACCCGGGCAACCGCGACGGCTCGCGCGGCATCGGCCAGGCCGATCGGACGCGCGCGACGGGCAAGCTCTGGGAGAAGACGACGCCCCAGGCCATGAAGCTCGCGAACGCGCCCGTGGCGGCCGACGACCTCTTCATGCACGTCCTCAACGAGGCCGACGACGTCTGGCGCATGCTCATCGTCGACAGCTTCCCTCGCTTCGTGGCGTCCAAGCACGCGGCGTCGATGGGGACGATCGCGCACGCGGCCCTCGCCCAGGTCCGCGACACGGACGAGTGGCTGGGCGCCTTCGCGCAGATCGCCGAGACCTGGCCCGCGTGCATCGTCGTGAGCGACATGACGATCCCCGGCGCGCCGATGGTCTACGTGAACCCCGAGTTCTGCCGCGTGACCGAGTACACGACGGAGGAGGCCGTCGGGCGGAACTGCCGCTTCCTCCAGGGCCCCGACACGGAGCCCGAGTCCATCGGCGTCATCCAGCGCACCCTGGGCAAGTGCGAGGACTGCCACGTGCTCCTCACGAACTACCGTAAGTCGGGCAAGAAGTTCAAGAACCTGCTCTCCATGCGGCCGGTGCTGGATGCGGACGACGTCTACCGGTTCGTGATCGGCGTCCAGTTCGAGGTCATCGAGGACGACAACTTGCCCATGCGGCTGGGCCAGCTGGACAAGCTGCTGCGCATGCTGCCGAAGAAGCTGCCGGTGCGCGGGGGCACTCGCAAGGTCGAGGTCGAGGAGACCCGGGCGGTGGAGATGACGGAGGAGCACTGCGTGGCGTCCATGTTCGCGACGACGAAGCTCAAGTGGCTCTCGAAGCCCGCGGAGGCCGTGCGCGGCCTCGCGAGCGACCCGGAGAGCGCGGCCGCGCTCGAGCGGTTCGCGGAACAGAGGTCGCCCCTGGCCCTGTGCGCGGTCAAGTTCCTCCAGGACGCCGACGCGCTCGAGCGCGCCACGGGCCGGCGGCGAAGCGCGCTGGCGCGCAAGCTGTTCATGCGGATGTGGCAGAATCCGCTCTTCTACTGCACGACGACGGAGATCGTCATCGGAGACATCGACACGACGGACTGGGCCCCGATCCTCAAGGACGTCAAGCAGTGGTCAGCGCGCTGGCAGGACATCGTCGGCGAGTGCTGCCTCCGGCCCTTCCTCGACTCGGAGGAGGGCGCGCGCGCGGTCCTCGCGTTCCGCGAGCGGGAGCGGTCGGCGCCTCCGCCGGAGGAGGACGAGGCGCCCCTGCTGTCGACGACGGCCATGGGTCTCGACGCGCGGAGCGGCACGTTCTGGCTCGGCATGGTCGACGCGATGAGCGCGAGCATGGCCGACGTCGGGCTCGTCGTGTCGGACATGCGCGTCCCGGGGATCCCGCTCTGCCTCATCAACGAGGGCTTCGAGGCGACGACGGGCTACGGGAAGGACATGGTCGGGCAGAAGTGCAGCTTCCTCCAGGGCGCGGAGACGCCGACGTACCTCATCGAGGAGATCGTCGACGCCCTGCGGGGCGGCGAGTCGCTCGTCGTCAAGCTGCCGAACTACAAGCGCGACGGGTCGACGTTCCAGTGCCTGCTGACGCTCCAGCCCGTCTTCGACGCGCAAGACACGTACTGCTACTGCGTCGGACTCCAGGTGGACCTGACGGACGCGTCGGCGCCCGTGGACCGGCTCGTCGCGCGCCTCCGCGCGATGTCGGACGTCGGCCGCGTCCTGCCCGAGTGCGTGGGCGGCGCGCGCGCCGCGCGCGCGGCGGCGCCCGCGCCCGCGGCCAAGGCCTGGGGCACGCCCCGGGAGGCGTCGACGCCGGAGCGCCGCGCGGGCGCCGCGCCGCTCCGCGTCGACACTGCGCGCGCGATCGTCGTGAGCACGGACGACGAGGCGTCGGTCAAGTCGCTCGGCGGCTTCGACGAGGACCCCTACGAGGACGACTTCGCCAAGGCGCCGCCGCGCAAGGTGCGCATCGAGAGCCCCGCGCGGCCGCCGCCCAAGTCCGCGGCGGCCGCGCCGCGCAAGGCGAGCCCGCCCGCGCGGCCGCCGCCGCGGTCCGCGGCCGCGGCGCCGCGGCGCCCCGCGACCGCGCCCGCGCGGCCGCCGGCCGGCGACGAGTCGTCGACGGACGACGAGCCGCGCGCGCACGCCGCCGGCGCCACGTCGCCCGCCGACGACGACACGGTGGACTGGGACGACGAGCCGCTCGCCTGCCGGCCCCGCGCGCCGGCGCGGCCGCGCCGCCCGAGCGCCGCGTCCGTCGACGACGACACCGTCGACATGAGCCGCGCGCCGCGCATCGCGACGCTCGCGGACCTCCAGGGCTACGGCGAGATCGGCGACGACGGCGCGGCGAAGCTCTACCCCAAGGAGGACCACGAGCAGAAGCCGCGGCGGCCGCCGGGCGCGCGGCCGAACGCGCGGCCCAAGAGCGCCGTCCTCGCGCGGCCGACGAAGCCCGCCGCCGAGGCCGCGCCGCGGCCCGGGTCCGCGGGCGCGCTGCGGCAGGCGCGGCCCCTCTCCGCGACGGCCGCGGCGCCGCCGCCGTCGGAATCGTCCAAGACCGCGTCGGCCAAGGGCCGCTTCGGCCGGCCGCGGCGCCCGTCCGCCAAGAACATGTTCCAGGCGCGGAACACGGAGAAGCTCGTCGCGTCGCCGCGGACCAAGGAGCTCATGGAGACCTACGGCGCGACGGCCATGGACGACAAGCTCGTCGACGGGAGAGACGACGCGATGAAGATGCAGCGGTGCCTCGAGGAGATGATCGACGACGAGCTCACGGCCTTCCGGAGCGTCGTCGAGGAGCACGGCGCGTTGAGTAGGTGCGACAGCGAGACCATCGGCACGCGGACGTCGTGCCGCAGCGACACGCTCGACCTCAACGGCCTCAAGAACGAGCGGCTCCTCATGCAGCGCCTCGGCTTCGTCGAGCACGTCTACGCGCTGGACGAGCGCATCAAGTTCGCCGAGGACCGCCAGAAGGCGGACCTCGAGCGGCGCCAGAAGGAGCAGCGGGACCGCCGCATGCGCATGCTCGTGGCGACGCACGCGCGGCGCCTCACGCAGTACGAGGCCGACCTCGCCGACGAGCGCGCGACGACCATCGCGGACCAGGGCGCCAAGGCCCTGGCGCTGGCGGAGAAGCACCGCGTGGAGCGCGACGAGTTCGTCGAGCGGACGCTGCGCACCGCGACGCTCCACGACGTCTCCGCGACGGCGTGCGCGTGCCCGAACCGCTACGTCTGCCGCCACAACCGCACGGCGTCCTACAAGCTCCGCAAGCGCAACCCGCTGGTCATCAAGTACCGCAACGCGGCGCGCAAGCTCCGCAAGTCGAAGCGGCCGTCCGAGGCCGCGGAGTTCGAGGCCAAGGCGCAGGCCTTGGACCGCCGCGAGGCCATCGCGTGGACGAAGCGCGTCCAGGAGTCGGCGCTGCGCACGAAGCTGCCCCTCCTCATCGCCCAGCAGGAGAAGGCCTCGAAGACGCTGCGGTTGCGCCACGAGCAGACGCTCTGCAACATGGACGTGCGCCACCGCAACGACGCGCGCAACCTCGAGCGCGTCCTCGAGTGCGAGCGGTCCAAGGCCGCGTGCAAGATGATCAAGATCCAGAAGCAGCAGCGCTCCGTCGCCGTCGACATGGACGGCACGCAGCGCCGCAGCTCCAGGGCCGCCGTCGACGGCGTCGGCGCGGAGCTCCCGACGGGCGCCATGTCCGCGAACATCCGCGCGGCCATGCTCCAGGCGCAGGAGGACGCGGCCGAGGGCCGCTCCGTCCAGGACGACCTCGACGACTACCTCGACGACCTCGGCGACGACGACGGCGGCGCGCGGCCCGCGCCGGCGAAGAAGTCCGTCGCCTTCTCGGGCGCGTGGTCGACGCCCGCCGCCGCGGGCCTCCAGAACTCGCCGCCCATCTTCACCGTCGCCGCGCCCTGACCGCGCGGCCACCGCGCCGCCGCGCTCGGTACCCGCGGCGGCGCGCGCCGCGCCGCGTCCTTCCCTCCCCCCCCTTCCCGGAAGCCCGCGCGCTTAGTTTTTTGTGTCATAAAGATGAATTGCTTGGATTGGAGGCGTGGTTCTTTGTCTTTAAAGCTTAGAGGAGGGAGACGGCGTCGCCCGCGTAGACGACGACGGCCGCGTCCGCGGCGAGGCCGAGCTCCGCGCGCGCGGCGGCCGCGGCGGCCGCGGCGTCGAGGTCCGCGGCTCCGGGCGCGTGGACGGGCGCGACGCCGCGGCTCAGCGCGAGCTGGCGCGCGACGCGCGCCGACGCCGCGAGCGCGACGACGGGCACGTCGGGCGCGCACTGCGCCACGCCGCGCGTCCGCGCGCCGCCCGCGTCCTCGACGACGGCCAGCGCCGCGGCCCCGGCCGCGCGCTGCGCGTGGACGGCGGCGAGGGGCAGCGCGAGGGCCGGCTCGACGCCGGCCCAGCCCGCGTCGTAGAGCTCGTCGTCCCACGCCTCCGCGGCTTGGAGGATGTCGCGCTGCGTCTTCAGCGCGAGCGCCGGGTAGTCGCCGTTGGCGCTCTCGCCGGAGAGCATGACGGCGTCGGCGAGCTCGAGGGCCGCGTTCGTGACGTCCGCGACCTCGGCGCGCGTCGGCCGCGGGTTCTTCTGCATGCTCTCGAGCATTTGGGTGGCCACAATTACGGGCTTGCCCGCGGCGCGGCAGAGGCCGACGATGGTCTTCTGCCACGTCGCGACGGACGCGATGGGCACCTCGACGCCCAGGTCGCCGCGCGCGACCATGACGCCGTCGGACGCGTCGACGATGCCGTCGAGCTCGTCCAACGCGCCGAGGCTCTCGACCTTGGAGACGATCAACACTTTGTCGCCGTCCGGGTAGAGGTCCGGGTGCTTGGCGACCTCGGCGTCGACGAAGGCGCGCACGGCCTCGACGCCCGCCGCGTCGCCGATGAACGACGCGGCGACGAAGTCGATGCCGTTGGCCACGCCGAACGCGACGTCGGCCTGGTCCTTGTCGCTCAGCGGCGGCAGCCCTAACGGCGCGCCGGGGATGTTGACGCCCTTGCGCTCGCCGATGGCGTTGCTGTTCGTCACCGTGCACGTGACGCCGCTCGCGTCCGCGGACGCGACCTCGAGGATGACGAGGCCGTCGTCGAGGAGCACGCTGTCGCCGACCTCGACGACTTTGTCCAGCCCCGGGTAGTTGACGTACATCGTGGTCGCGTCGCCGGCGCCGTCGAAGGCGGCGTCGCCCGTGAGCAACAGCGTCGACCCGGCCTCGAGGGCGACCTTGGCCTTGCGGTCGCCCGACTCCTTGCAGACCTTGAGCCCGCCGAGGCGCACCTCGGGGCCGCGCGTGTCGAGGAGCGTCGCGACCTTGTGGCCGCCGTCGCACTTGGCCAAATTGTGCACGCGCCGGAAGAACTCCTCCTCCGTGGCGTGGCTGAAGTTGAGGCGCATGACCTCGAAGCCGCTGGCGACGCAGGCCTTCAGGGGCTCGAGGTCCTCGGACGCGGGGCCGATGGTCGCCACGATCTTCGTGAGGCTGGACGCCGGGCGCCGCGGGTAGCCGAGGCGAGACGCGAGGCGCTGCAGGCGCAGGGACGTGACGGCCATTGGTGTTGTCGCGCGGCTGCGCTGGCGGCGGTGCGAAGTGTGCAGGGCCGATCGGCGATTTTGGCCAAGCGCGACAGCACCATGCCGATCATGCCGGCGATGCCGTGGCCATCTCGAATCAGGCCCGCGTCGCTGGCGACGTCGACTAGCCTCTTTGCGCGCGCGATTCGATAGTTGCGCGCGACACGCGACGACAACGACCATGTCGAACGGCGGCGCCCTGCCGCCCGGGTGGTCCTCGGCGAAGGACCCGAGCAGCGGCAACACCTACTACTACCACCAGGTGAGCGGCGCCGTCCAGTGGACGGCGCCGCAGGGCGCGCCGGCGCCGCCGCCCGGCGGCGGCGGCAGCCGCTTCGGCCAGGCCCCGCAGGCGCAGTACGCGGCGGCCAACCCCTCGAGCGCCGAGGGCCAGGCCTACGCGGCCGTGCAGCAGCACGTCGCCGCGTCGCGCGGGCCGTCCGGCCCGTCCTACGGCGGCGGCGGCTACGGCGGCGGCGGCTACGGCGGCGGCGGCGGCTACGGCGGCGGCGGCGGCTACGGCGGCGGCGGCGGCTACGGAGGCGGCGGCACCTACGGCGGCGGCGGCTTCAACGGCGGCTTCAACGGCGGCGGCGGCGGCGACCCGATGATGAAGGGCTCCGTGCGCCGCGGCGGCGACCTGGGCGCGCTGAAGAAGGACGACGATTCGCCGGCGGACGTCATGGCCTGGCGCGCGGAGCACGAGATCACCGTCGCCGGCGGCTGCAAGGAGCGCTACGCGACCTTCGACGCCGCGCCGCTCCCGCCGCGGCTCCTCGCGTCGCTGAGCTCCGCGGGCTTCGCGACGCCGTCGGCGATCCAGGGCCAGGCCTGGCCGCCGGCCCTCGCCGGGTCCGACGTCATCGGCGTCGCGAAGACGGGCAGCGGCAAGACGCTGGGCTTCCTCGTGCCCGCGTTCAAGCAGCTCTGCGGCAACAACCCGGGTCCCATGCCCGGCCAGCCGAACGCGCCGCGCGTGCTCGTGCTGGCGCCGACGCGCGAGCTCGCGACGCAGATCGCCGAGGAGTGCGTCAAGTTCGGCGGGCCCCTGGGCATCCGCTCCATCTGCTGCTACGGCGGCAGCCCCAAGGGCCCGCAGCTGGGGGCCTTGCGGAGCGGCGCGCACGTCGTCATCGCGACGCCCGGGCGCCTCAACGACTTCCTCGAGGGCGGCATGGTGTCCATGCACAACGTCAACTACTTGGTCTTCGACGAGGCGGACCGCATGCTCGACATGGGCTTCGAGCCGCAGATCCGGAAGATTGTGGCGCGATGCCCCGGAGACCGGCAGACGCTCTTCTTCACGGCGACGTGCTGTGTGGAAATCAAATCTTCAACCCGACTTCAATGTGCGCGTATGCGACCGTTTCGACGCGAGGTTTTCTGCTGTGCTTCGAGAACTCGATGAGAGCAATCGATTCGTCCAAAAATCAGCCGAATCGACTTCGATTTGACCGAGCTAGAGATTTCTGAAGTTTGGCCCCGACGTCCCAGCTCACTGGTTGATTTCCACACAGGCGACGTGGCCCAAGGAGGTGCGGCGCCTCGCGTCGGAGTTCCTCGCGGAGCCCGTGATCATCTACGTCGGCGACACGACGGGCGCGTTGCGCGTCAACAAGGACGTGTGCCAGAAGATCTTCGTCACGAGAGGTCCGCAGGAGAAGGACCGCTACCTCGCGGACTGCATCCGCAAGGAGACGCAGGCCGCGGCCGGCGGCGTCGCGCGCGTCATCGTCTTCGCCAACGCGAAGCGCATGTGCGACCAGCTCGAGCGCACGCTCCCGCGGGCCGTGGGGGTAAGGTGCGCGGCGATCCACGGCGACAAGGACCAGATGCAGCGCACGCAGACGCTCAACGCCTTCAAGGTCGGCATCTGCCCCGTGCTGATCGCGACGGACGTCGCCGCGCGGGGCTTGGACATCAAGGAGGTCAAGGCCGTCGTCTGCTACGACTTTCCCAACAACGTCGAGGACTACGTGCACCGCATCGGCCGCACGGGCCGCGCGGGCGCCAAGGGCAACGCCTACACCTTCTTCACGCAGCGCGACGACCGGAAGGCCGCCCAGCTCGTCAAGTTGTTGGACGACGCGCAGGCCGAGGTGCCCGACGAGCTCCGGGCCATGGCCCAGGGCCGCGGCTTCTGCCCCTCGAACATGCAGTTCAGCCAGGGCGGCCCGCCCCCGCCGCCGGGGGCCTACGGCGGCGGCGGCGGCTACGGCGGCGGCGGCGCCTACGGCGCGCCGCCGGGCGTCGGGCCGCCGCCGGGCGTCGGGCCGCCGTCGGCGGCGCCGCAGCTCGCGGCGCAGCCGGCGGCGCCGCGCGACGAGCCGCGCCGGAGCCGGAGCCGGAGCCGCGGCCGCCGCCGCCGCGGCGACGACGACGACGGCGACCGCGGCCGCCGCCGCCGCGACCGCAGCGACAGCCGCGCCGGTCGCGGCGCCGCCGCGACCGGAGCCGGAGCCGGAGCCGGTCCCGCGGCCGCCGCCGCCGCGACGACTGAGCGCCGCCGGCCGCCGAAGCAAGACCTCCCCCCCCCCGCTCGCCGCGGCCGCGTATAAGACGGCCGCTTACTCGACCTCGCCCCAGACGTGGCCCGTGATGAGGCTCGCCGTCGTGGCGACGGCCGCGCACTCGGCGGGCGACGGCCGCACGTGGGCGCGGCCGCTCCGGATCCGCTGGAGGTAGCGCGGGAGCGCGTCAGCCGCGATGGACCGCACCTTGCGGACGAAGAGGAAGCCGCGCGTCGCCGCGAGCAAGGCGCCGTCGACGTCGTGGAGCTCCGCGGCCGTGACGCCCGCGTGGTTCGCCGCGCAGTAGAGGAATCGCGCCGACGCGTAGGGCCGTCGGAGTATGGTCATCATGTTGGCCCAGTAGTACTCGTCGGACGCGCCGACCCAGATCGTCGAGAACGCGTCGTACTGCGGCCTGGGCGGGAAACAAGTGATTCAAGTTCGCTTCAACATGAGTGTTCCGCGCGCGCGCGTTCCGGAAAAAGCATCCACTCTTCGAGACCGTTCCAAGAGATGATCGCTCGTCCAAAAATCAGCCGAAACGAGTGGAAAACGGCCGAGATCGGAGCCTTTGAAGTTGGGAATGTCGCTCTCTTTTGCTGCCCTGACTGCGGCCTTTCGTCGAGCGCGTCGAAGTCGTCGCGGAGCAGGGCGCAGAACATGTTCGCCTTGGTGATGGTCGAAGGTCTCCATCGGTCCGCGAGGGCCCGGGGCAGCTTCCTCGAGATCATCGCGTGGTTGCCGGACCGGGCCTCGAACTCCTCGGGCGACGGCGTCTCCTGCACCTGGAAGAGGGACGACCCGAGCCGGTCGCAGAGCGCGTCGAAGGGTTCGAGGGGGAGCATGGTGTCGCTGAGGAGCACGAAGGCGTCGCAGCCGCCGTCGCGCGCGGCGCGGAAGAGCGCGGCGGCGGCCTCGACGAGCGACACGTCGCCCCACGCCGTGTCCACGAGGCCCTCCGTCAAGACCGTCACGTTGCGGAGGCCGCCGCAGGACGCCGCGCAGGCGCCGGGCCGCTTCGAGTGCGCGTAGATGGCGAAGCGGCGCGACTCGACGCCGTCGAGGTACCACCGCCAGACGTCCGCGTATTCCACGCCTCCGTAGACGAGGAAGCAGAGGCCCACCTTCAGGCCCCGCGGCGGCTTCCGCAGCGTCGGCGCCGACACCCAGCCCTCGAGGCCGCCGCCGGCGACGAGCAGGCGCTCGCGGCCGCCGGCGGACGCCGCGCGCGTCACGCGCAGGGCCGTGCCCCGCCGCAGCTCGCCGACGGCGGCGCTCGACAGCGACGGCTCGCGGCGCACGAGCGCCTTGCGCAGCACCGCGCCGGCGAGCCCCTCGGGCTGCCGCTCGAGCGCCTCGGCCCAGGAGCCCGGTGCCGGGGTGGCCTCGACCAGGGATGCCATAGACTCGGGCAACACGTTATGGCTAGTTAGCAATAACGCGATAACACCCTAGCTAGCCAATCAAATAACACTAATAACACCCTGCCGATGGCAGCCACTCGATTTTTCAAAATCAATAACACCCTGGCGAAAATTCTCGATAACACCCATAACACCCAGCCACCCGATCCTTAAAAAGCCAATAACGACCTAACACCCGAGCGTCCGAGGCCAATAACGCCCTAACGGTCTAACGGGTTGCACGAGTCGAATGCCATCGTGTGCAGGGGCTCAAGGGGGCTTCAAGTTGCAGGATCGTTGCAGGGGCCCGAACTTAGGGTGCCGGGCCGCGCCTGCTGAGGTGCCGCCGATGTGGGAGCGGGCCGTCGCGGGGGTCAGGGTTTCATGCGAATTTGCGTGTCTTTTGGTGTGCGAATTTCGTGTGTGAATTGCGTGTGGAGCCGGCCGCTCAGAGCGCGCCGGCCGCGAGGCAGAGGCCGAACGCGGCCGCGCCGAGTTTGAGGCCGGCGGCCGCGTCCGTCGCGTCGGACGCGCAGATGAAGACGCAGGTGTCGCCGAGAGAGAAGGTCGCGGCGTAGGAGTAGATGCACGCGACCCAGGCCTGGGCAGGACAAGAGTGCGAAATTCCCAACTTCAAAGGCTCCGATCTCGGCCGTTTTCCACTCGTTTCGGCTGATTTTTGGACGAGCGATCATCTCTCGGAACGGTCTCGACGCGTGGATGACTTTTCCGGAACGCGCGCGCGCAGAACGTTCAAGTTGAAGCGACGTTGAATCACTCTTGTCCTGCCCCGACCCAGGCCTCGTAGAGCGGCGAGCAGGCGGAGCAGACGCCGTCGACGGCCGTCGTGTCGCAGGCCTCGAGGAACGAGGGCGACGCCTCGGCGTCGGCGCACGTCGCGATGGCGTAGTCGTCGTCGTCGTCGTCGTCGTCGTCGTCGTCGTCGTCGTCGGTGATCGTGAGGCCGCACTCCGTGGAGAAGCACGTCTCCCAGTCGTACATGATGGAGCACGCCGCGTCCCACGACGCGAACATCGCGTCGTCGTCGTCGTCGTCGTCTTCCTCGAGGCGGCGGGGCCCGGCGACGCCCGCGTGGGCAGCTTCGGCCGCGTGCGCCGCGCGCGCCGCCGCCTCCTTGGCCTTGAGCTGCTTGATCTGCTTCCTCAGCCCGTCCGGCACGACATCGGCGGCGGCGGTGGCGACCAGGAGGCTGACGGCGAGGCGGCGGAGCATGGCTTTTTTCTAGTTGCGGTTTTGCGTTGATTGCGATTGCCTGCGGCGCCGAGAACGATCGAGGGCTGCCGATGCAAACGCAGTGGGGCAGCATCTGAGCATCGCTAACCTCAATTGCCACAAGCTCTCCATATGAGGGGAGAAGCATGGAGAGCCTCTCTTTGCATTTGGCTGTCGCGCGGCGTTCGACGGGGCCATGGTCACGGGAACATGCGTCTGAATGCCGGGCGCGCCCTCTCTCCAGGAGTGTGCGCCGTGACCATGGCCGCGTCGGCGGTCGATTTTTATGTGCTCGCGAACTCGCTACTTTTCGACATGCTCTCTGACCGCCAGAGCAGCACTTTTTGGGCTTCGGGCAGCATGCTGGCTGGCGCGGAGGCTCGGGGTACACGTCTGGTGCCCTCGGGCTGCTCAGTTGCTGGTTTGGCTCGAAGTACGTGCGACACGCGCGCGCGGCCACGCGGCCGCGCGCGACGCGGTTTCAGCCCGAACATGTCAGATCGACTTCCTCGGCTCCTCTGGGCCAGCCCTTGTGGCAGGGCGCTCGCGGGTCGATGGCGGACGATCCCTGCTGCTGCGCGGGGCTGCCCGGGCCGCTCACGGGCCGGGGGAGGGGCGTCGCGTCGGTCAAATCGGTCGTCCGAAACCGCTCGCGTTCTCAGCGAATCGCAATCTAGACGATGCCGCTCCTTCGCCGATGGCAGCCCCCATGTGCGCGCTATGCGCAGTCCCAGCGATCTTGCACGCGGGGGCGCGCGCGCGGTGGTAGGCGCGCTCGACTAAATTTAATGCCTCCATGCCGTCTCGGGCTGAAATCAGCGGAACCAACAAGAGGCCGGCAGCGAACCACCCCACGACACCAAGCACCACTAACCAACTACCCCTGAGTCGCGACTTGCTCAAAATGAGTGGTCAAAACAGCTGCAACATGGGGTCAACGAAGCCTGTGAACCACCCGTTCTGGCCGATCGGCAGCTGGAGGGCTGCTCGGCCATGACCTCCACACGGTCGAAATTTATGATCGAGCGTCAAAACCACCAGTTTGCTCAAGCTCGAGATCAAAACTGGTCGATAGAGCCAAAACAAGCATAACTCCGGTGGATTCGAGTGGTCTCCAGCGGCCTCAGGGGTACCACCCCCACCACCACCACCACTACCTCACCCCATTTACAGACTACTCATCTCAGATCAGCATGACAGTGGTTAAGGTTGTCTGTGCATGAACTCATGGGAACCAATTACATAGAGCGAGCCGATGAGCGGAACCAAACACATACAGCGAGCCGCAACGAAATAAACTGCAACGGATAGGCAATCTCAGTGGTGCTTCCCCCCTCCTGCTCTCCATGAGGCTCGAGCGAGCTGAAGAATTTGCGGTCGGTCCGCGCGCGCGCCTTGCCCAGTCGCGGCGCCCCCGCACGTCCCCGAGCCCCCCCTCGGCCGCCCGCGACTACATGCACGCCATGTCCGTCAAGCCGACGTCGCGGCCGCACTGGTTCTGGGTCCACGGCGCCCTCGTGCTCACGCAGGTCATGTTCGGCGCCGGCGGCGTCATCGGCAAGCTGGGCCTGCCGGCGACGAACCCGCTGCTCTTCGCGCTGCTGCGCGAGGGCTGCGCGGGCCCCATCCTCCTCGCCGCGGCCCACGTCTGGACGCCGACGCGCGTCGGCGACGTCGTCCGCGAGTGGCGCGAGTTCGCGCTCCTGGGCCTCTTCATCTTCGGGAACCAGGTGTCGTTCATCGTCGGCCTCAAGCTGTCGAACCCCGTGGCCGGGGCCATCTGGCAGCCTTCGCAGCCCATCTTCACGGCGGTGCTGGCCATCTGGCTGGGCATGGAGAAGCCGAGCGCCCGGCGCCTCGCGGGCATCGGCGTCGCGTTTGTGGGCTGCGCGGCCATGGTCTACCTGTCGGCGTCGTCCGTGGGCAGCTCCGCGCTCGTCGACGAGATCGCGGGCAACTGCTTCTTCTTCGTCAACTGCCTCGCGACGTCCCTCTACGTGATCCGGTCGAAGCCGCTGCTGCGCCGGTTCCCGGCGCTCGCCGTGACCGCGTGGTCCTACATGGTCGCGGCGCTCTTCATGGCCGTCACCGCCGTGGCCCTCAACTCGTCGCGCGCGGCCCTCGACTTCCTCTGCAAGGACTGCGGCGGCGACGCCTGGCGCGTGCCCGAGGCCGCGCTCCTCGCGCTCGCCTACTGGATCCTGTTCCAGTCCGTGGGCGCGTACGCGCTCATGACCTGGGGCAACGTGCACGCGTCGGCGTCGCTCGTGTCGGCCTACACCGTGCTCCAGCCCGTGACGTCGTCCCTGCTGACGGCGCTGATTTTGGCGTCCGGCGCGTACCGGAACTGCGCGCGGGCGGACGACGACGACGCGTGCCTGTCCATGCCCGGCGTCGGCGACCTCGGCGCGATTGGGGTCGTCATCGGCCTCTACCTCGTCATCACGTCCGAGGTCGCGCCGCCGAAGAGCGCGCCGCCGGCCGCGGACCAGGCGAACCCGCTCCTCGACGGGAGCGACGACGACGACCGCGCGCCCGACGCCGCCGCGTCCATCAACGCCTAGGCCCCGCCCGTATTTTACCCCTCGCCTAGAGCGCGAGCGCGGCCGCGGGCTCCGTGAGGAGGAGGTCGACGGCGGCGTCCTCGTCGCCGCGCGCCTTCTTCAGCGCGGCCTCGCAGAGCGCCTTGGGCCAGCCCATGGCCGCGAGGCGATCCGCGGGCGTCTCCGCCGGCGCGGCGGCCGGCGCGGGCAGCGCGGACGGCGGCGGCGCGGACGCGGACGCGCCGACGGCGTCGATCGCGGCGGCCGCGTCCGCGGCGCGCCACGCGCCGGCGAGGCGCCAGGTCCGCGGCTGCGTCACGGGCTCGAACTCCTTGGCGAAGCGGTCGACGATGCCCAGCGACGCCGGCGCGGCCGGCAGCGTCGCGTGCTTCTTGCGGGCCATGACCTGTGCCGGAACAACAACCAGTGAGCTGGATCGGTCCAGCGAAACTTCGAACCTCTCCGTCTCGCTCGCGTCGACGTCGTTTCGGCTGATTTTTGGACGGATCGTCTTCTCTCGTCGAGTCCTCGACGGACAGCTTGTGATACATTCATGTTGAAGTCGCGTTGAATATTTTTGTTTCCTGCCCGGGCCAAGGACGCGCTTCTTCGCGACGGCGGGCGGCGCGTCGAGGTGCACGACGAGGCACGCGGCGTCCGGGTCGGCCCGGGCGGCGAGGGCGAGCCAGAGCTCGCGCTGCTGGTGCGTGTGGTTGCAGCGGTCCACGCAGACCTTGTCGCCCCTGGCGAGCGCGGCCGACGCCGCGGCCTCGCACTTCTGGCGCGAGCCGAGCGCGTCCTGGCAGACGACGACGAAGCCCTTGGCCTTGAGGGCCGCCGCGAGCGTCGACTTGCCGCAGCCGGGGATGCCGCAGAGCACGACGAGGCTCAGGCGCGCGTCGGTGCCGAAGGCGCCGGCGGCCGCGGCCATCATGAACGCCGCCCCGCTGCGCTCGAAGGCCTCGTCGGCGGCCTTCTCCCAGGCCGGCTGCCGCCGCGCCCGGCGCTCCTTCTTCTGCTGCTGCTTCGACGTCGACCACTCCGCCATGATGGCGGGGCGCGCCTTGAACGCCTGCCGCGGCGCCGCGAGCTGGTGCCGCTCGACTTGGCGGCAGCTTCGGCGAGCACTGGATCCTTGCGGCAAAGCTTGCCCAAGTGCGGCAGCGTCGGCTCTCGACGCCGGGCATCGACACGCGATTGGAAACGTAATTCGGCGCGTCTGTGAGTGCTGCGCGCCGTCCTGCCTGCGCGCCCGTCGCGCCTCGTCGGGAGCTCGGCGGTCCCGCCACTTTGAAAAAACGATCGCGTCGGCGGCGGCCCGCCGCAGCCGGCCCGACGCTCCGGCGGCGCCCTGCGACGCGCCGGGGGGCGAGGCGTCGCCGCTGCTCGCCATGGACGACGACGACCGCGCGCACAAGTACCACGACCGGCTGCTCGCGGGCGCGCGGCGGCGGCCGAACGCCGCCTGGCGCCTGCTCACGTCGTGCGTGCGGCGGCCGCGGCGAACGGCCGCGCCCGCGAGCTACGCCGAGCCCATGACCTACGGCCAGGCCATGCGCCTCGCGGAGCGCCTCCACGGCGGCCGCCCGCCGCCCCTGGACCGCCGCGGCGCCGGGGCCTCGTCCTTCGACGAGGCCGGCGCGGTTTGGTGCCACGCGCCGGCAGTCGGCGGAAGCCGGCGGCCGCTCTGCTGCTCGCCGAGCCAGCCCGACGAGCGGCCGCCGCCGCCGCCGCCGCCGCCGCGGCCCCTGTAGCGGCGCGCCGGCGCGCCGGCCCCGCCGCGAGGCGCGCGCCGCCCCCCCGTTCGCTGTGCCCCCTGTTTTAACCTGCTCTCTCGGAGACGTGCGCGGCTCCCGCCGCCGCCGCCGAGGCCGAGCGCGCTGCGCGCCCCTTCCCCGCTCGCGCACGGGCCGGCCGTCGCGGAACATCGCGGCGCCCGGCGGTCCCCCTCGTGGCCGCGGCTGCTGCCCGGCCGCGGCGGTCGATGGTCAGCGGTCGCGACTCGGAGATCCCGCCCATCCGTGCCCAGCCTTCGCCGGCGGGCTTCCCCCCCGACGCCGCGGGCGGCCGCGGCGCGGTGCGCGACGCGCGACGCCGCCTCGGGGCGGGCAGGGGGGCGGGGGACACGGAACGTTCGCCTAACGTTCAAATCGGTTCAATGAAGACTCAACCACGTTTGAATTCAGACAAGCAGACAAAAGAACACGCAAAGTCGAGTCCACTTAAGACCCACCCGGGGCAGCCTCGAGTCCACTTCGCCCCCTGTTGACGATGGGCCCTGCGCGCAAGTCGTCGTCGTCGTCCGCGGGCTCCGTGCGCGCCGTGAGCGTGTCGCCCCGCGCGGGCCGCGTCGCCAAGGCCGCGCCGCCGCTGCGCAAGGCGTCGCGGCCGCCGTCGCCCGCGAAGGCGCCGACCGCGCGGCCCGCCCACCCCGTGGGCGCGACGGTCGCGCGGCGCTTCGGCGGCGCCTGGTTCGAGGGCCGCGTCGTCGCGAAGATCGAGCCCGAGGCCGGCGAGGCGGACCGTGCGCCGTGGTTCCGAGTCGTCTACGACGACGACGGCGACGCCGAGGACCTCACGCGCGCGGAGGTCGCCGCGGCCATCGACGCCCACGCGGACCACGCCAAGCTCGAGGCCGGCCGCCGCGACGCCGTCGCGCTGCCCCCGCGCGCGGACGACCCCTACGGCGGGAACGCGGCCGACGTCGCGCGGGAACTCTACGAGGCCATCGACCTCCGCGTCCTCGAGCCCGCGGACGTCGAGATGTCGCGCACGGCGCGCCTCCTCCTCGCCCTCAAGCCCCGCAACTCGCCGCCCGCGCCGGACAAGGCGTCGCGCCGCAAGGCGCGCCGCGCGGCCGCGGCGCCGCGGCCGGCGCCGCCGCCGCCGGGGCCCAAGCCCGTCGCGCCGTCGCGCTTCCGCAAGAACCACCAGGCCCAGTCCAAGCCCCCCATGGACGCCGACGGCAACTTCCCCTGCGCGCGCGGCTGCGGCCGCACCTTCACGCACGCGCCCGCGGCCGTCGCGCACACGAAGGCCTGCCGCTACGGCTGCCCCCCCTGCGCGTGAATCCCCCCGTCCCCCCTGTGTGCCCCGTGACATAACGCCCCCCCTGTACCCTCATATTAGCCGCCGCTCCGGAGCGCGCGCTCGAGGAAGAACGCGTCGTAGGCGTCGAGGAGCGCGGCCCGCACGGGCGCCGCGGCCTCGGCGAGCCGCGCCTGCTCGGCGACGTAGGCGCGGCGGCCGGCCGCCGTCTCCACGCGCACGGGCGCCGCGTCGCCGGTCGCGACGGCGCCGCGGAGGTCGTAGGGCGACGCGCGCATGTCCAATTTCCGCGCGTCCACGGCGACGGCGAGCGCGTCCCCCAGCAGCTCCGGCTCGAGGAAGGGCGCGAGGCGCAGGGCGTAGCGCAACAAGTCCATGCCCGCGTGCAGGCACGCCGGCTGCTCGTGGGCCGCCTGCGAGTCCCGCGAGAGCTGCCACCGGTTCCGCGGCTTCGCGCCTGTGTGGAAATCAACCACTGGTTTGGGGGGTCCCCACCAAACTTCAGAACTCTCCATCTCAATCAAATCGAAGTCGATTCGGCTGATTTTTGGACGGATCGATTGCTCTCGTCGAGTTCTCGAAGCACAGCGAAAGAGTCTGGTCCAAATCGTTCGATTACGCGCACATTGAAGTCGGGTTGAAGATTTGATTTCCACACAGCTTCGCGCCGTCCGCGTAGAAGCGGAAGGCGTCGAAGTGCGTGCACCGGAGCTCGTTGCTGTCGACGACGGCGTCGACGCGGTGTTGCGGGAGCCGGAGCGGGAGGGCCTGGTGCCGCGGCGGGGGCTCGCCGCCGCCGCCGTAGACCATCGCCCACTCGTGGAGGCCGTAGCAGCTCCAGACCGGCGGCTTCGTGGATGTGGCCGAGAGCACCTCGCGGCCCCGCGCGAGCGCCGCGAGCCGCGGCGCCGACACGCCCAGCGGGTCGAAGCGCCGGACGCCGCCCGCCGCGTCGGGCCGCCGCCACAACAGCTTCCCGTCCTCGGCGTCGCCGCCGGCCTCGAGCGCGACGTGGGCCGGTGCGGTCAGGCGCTCGAGGCGCGCGGGCTTGCCCAGGTCGCCCTTGTAGTAGGTGAACACGAAATTCAGGAACGGGTCGGCGGCGCACGTCTTCGCGACGTCGCCGGGCCGCCCGCCGAGCAGGTCCGCGACGCGGGTCCGGTGCGCCGCCGCGCGCGCGGCCCACTCGGCGCGGGGCAGCACGACGAGCGACTTCGCGGCGGACACCATGAGGAGCGCGCCGAGGCGCATCGACTACGGCCCGGGCAGCATCATGCCGCTTTGCTTGAGCTGCGTCGCCATGCTTGCCTTCTCCACAGCAAGATGAACTGCAAGGCGACCAGGCGCAGACCGACGTCGCGGCCGCGCCGGAGGCCGGCGGCCAGGCCGGCGGCGGCGGCGCGCGGGCCCGGGCCAGGGCCGACGCGCCGCCCAGGCCGGACTAACCGGCGGCTCGCACTTCTCTGATGCGTCTAGATCCGCCAAGACTGGGGTCACGAACGCCGCCGTCGGGAGTAGGGAGACCCCCCTCCGCCCCGGATGGCCAAGTGATAGCCTCCCGGACAAAGTAGCCTAGGCCTCAAAGTCCCACTTAAAGTCCCGGACATCTCTTGAATGTGCAACAATCGAACGTTTCCGGGAAAGATCCACATCAGTTACTAACAGGCCTAACAGAGAGGCGCTGCTGCCCGCGGCCGCCATGGTGGCCAAGGGCATCAACCAGAAGCTCGTCATCTTCGACAAGAGCCTCAAGACCGACTACCAGACGACCTACCAGCTCACGACGCAGCTCGCGCGCACGGCGCGCCAGTCCCTCGCGCTGCCGCGCATCGACAAGAACGCGAGCGACCGCGCGGCGATCATCAACCCCGACGGCTTCCCCCCGGGCTTCAAGTCGACGAGCCGCGCCGAGTTCCACCCCGACGCCAGCGCCCTCTGCGCGACCTACGAGCGCGAGCGGCCCGCCTTCGACCGCGTGTCGAGCTGCAAGACGAACTACAGCCTGGGAAGGGCGCCGTTCGAGGCGCACACGACGCACGGCGCGGAGTTCGCGCACCCGCGCCGGCAGCCCCGGGCCGCCCAGGCGGAGATCGGCGGCTGGAAGCACGCCGACGGCTCCTACAAGCTCGACAACGCGGCCATCGTGAGCCTGCGGCGCGGCGGCGGCGGCGGCGAGGGCGCGCTCGGCGTCCGCTTCGACCTCATCACGGGCGAGGCCATCCCCGGCTGCCGCAGCGCGCGGCGCGCCATCGCCGGCGCGCGCCGGACGCTCAACATGACCGCCGTGCCCACGGGCGAGTTCTACAACGTCGCGACGAACCGCGTCGCGGACCCCGGCGCCGCGCCCGGCCGCGACACGCCGGGCCGCCTCCGGCGGCGCAACGACACGGCGCACCGCACGCGGCCCTGGTAAAATATCGGCCGGAACGCTTAGACGGAGCCCGTCCGCGGCGTGCTCGACGTCGTGTTCGGCAGGTACGTCGGCGGCCGCTCGCGCCGGCTCCGCCGGGGGTCGTCCGCGCGGAGCGTCGACGTCGAGTCGCCGCGCCAGGGCCGCAGCAGGCCCGCGAAGACGTGCTCGTCGAAGGGCCCGCCGCAGTCGTAGTAGTCCGCGACGCCGCTGTCGTCGAGCGCGCCGAGCGTCCGCTCCGCCGACCCGCGCCCGAACGCGACGGCCGGCGGGCACCGCGCCGCGTCCCCGCGCCGCTCGTCCGCGCGCGCCCCCTGTTCTCCGCGCTTCTCGAAGCCGCCGAAGCCCCAGACCGCGCGGACGCCCGCGACGAGCTGCGCCGTCTCCATGTCCTCGACCGCGCCGCAGAGCACGACGTCGAAGCGTTTCCGCAGCACGCGGATCTTCGCGAGGACCTTGAGCGCCTGAGCGCCGGACTTGGCCGCGTGGGCGACGTTCGCGCCGCAGGCCAGCGCGCGCCGGGCCACCGCGCGCCGGTCCTTGGCGTCCGCGGCGACGACCAGAACGGCGACGCGGTCCTGGTCCCGGAGCCACGTCGCCCAGAGCTTCGAGTCCTCGACGTTTCCGCCGTCGGAGCCGGAGAGCCCCCCCCAGGGGTCGTCGTCGGCGAGCGTACTCCGCACGGGCAGCAGCGTCGGCGCCCTCCCGACGCGGATCTCGCGCTCGTGGCGGACCGCGCCGGGCTGCGGCGCGGGCAGCGTCTTGAGCGACGGCGGCGGGCCGTCGCGGGCGTCCGGCGGCGGCGCGGGCGTCGTCGTCGGCCGCGCGGGCGCGCCGCCGCCCCTCGCCGCCGCGCGGCCGGGCGTCGACGTCGGCCGCCGCCGGAGCTCCGGCAACTCCAGCGACGCGTCGTCGCGCGGGGCCGTGGCGCCGGACCGCTGGCTCGGGTCGCCGAACATGGACGCGAAGGGCCCCAGCGTCGTGCCGAGGCTGCCGTCGAAGCTCTCGTCGCCGTCGTCGCCCTCCAGACTCCGCGCGGGCGACCGCGGCGTGCCCGGCAGGGACCTGGGCAGGACAAGAGAGATTCAACGTCGCTTCAACGTGAGTGTTCCGCGCGCGCGCGTTCCGGAAAAAGCATCCACGCGTCGAGGCCGTTCCGAGAGATGATCGCTCGTCCAAAAATCAGCCGAAACGAGTGGAAAATGGCCGAGATATGAGGCTTTGAAGTTGGGAATTTCGCTCTCTTGTCGTGCCCGGCAGGGACCAGGGCCGCTGGTCGACGTGGACCAGGGTCGGCGGCGCCTTCAGGGACGGCACGGCGACGGGCGGCCGCGGCCGGGCGGGCTCCGGCGCGTCGTCGTCGTCGCGCGACCCCCAGCGCCGGCGCCGCCCGAAGCTCCGCTCCGCCGCGGACGCGAGCGACGCCGTCGACGCCTGCAGCGTCGCCGGCGCGTCGAGGCCCGCGGACGACGCGCGCGGGGACCGGCCCCGCGCCGCCGCCGCGGGCACGGAGCCCCGGCGGCGGCCGCCGTGGTGCGTCGCCGCGCGGCGGTGCCGGTGGTGGCTCCGCCGCGGCGGCGCGGGCCGCGGCGCCGGTCGCGGCGCGGACCGCGACACGTCGCCCCAGGCCGCCGTGGACACCGTGGCCACGTACTCGCCCGTCGCCCGGCTGCGCAGCGTCACGCGGCCGCCCGCGACGTCCGACGGCTCCGGCGCGACGTCCGATAAAGCGTACTCGCGGACGCGGACCGTCGCCAAATCCTCGTCGGCGAACCACTCGTCGTCGACGTCGCCCGCGGGCTCCGGGTGCGACACCCTTAACACGGCGCCGTCGAGCTCCACGGAGCAGACCGTCTTCGGCGGCGCGGGCCGGTACGACCTGTGTGCAAATCAACCAGTGAGCTGGGACGTGGGGGCCAAACTTCAGAATCCTCTAGCTCGGTCAAATCGAAGTCGATTCGGCTGATTTTTGGACGGATCGATTGCTCTCAGCGAGTTCTCGAAGCACGGCGGAAGTGATCGTGTCAAAACATTCGAATACGCGCACATTGAAGTCGGGTTGAAGTTTTGATTTGCACACAGGGTACGACGGGTCCGACAAATGGTCGCCGTGCCGCGCGAGCCAACTTCGGCCCGCGGCCTCCTTCGTCTTCGTCGCGTCCCAGCCCGAGTTCGACGCCGACAAGGCAAAGGCCACGGGCACGGTCCGCGGCGCGTCGCCCCGCGGGATCTTGCCGAAGAGCTCGGACGACGGAAAGGGCACGTAGCCGAAGTGGCCGCCGTCGCCCGCGTCGCGGTCCTCGCGGTTCATGTCGAGCCGCTCGCTCCGCGCGTGGCGCCGCTCGTCGCGGATGGCATCGCCGTCGACGAGGCCCAGCAGCCGCGCGGTCGTAAAGGAGTCCGCGCCGCGGAACGCGCGGATCCGATCCGCCGCGCGGTAGAGCCGCGCGTGCGCCTGGTCCGCCCGGACGCGTTCCAGGGCCGCCGCCGCCGCCGCCGACGCCTGGGCGCGCCGCGCCATGACGAGGGACCCGTCGGCCTTGGAGTTCTCCGGCAGCTTCGGGCGGCCCGTGAGTCGCTTCCGCGCGGCGATCATCCGCTCCTCTTTTAACCGCTCGGCCTCCTCCTCGAGGCGCCGCTCGGCCTCCAACGCGAAAGCCCGCGCCTCGGCTTTGACGGTCTCCGCCGTGTGGACCGAATCGGCGTCGGGCGTCGGGCTCGCGTCCTCGGGGACCTCCGGCGCGGGCTCGGACGGCTCCGCGAGCGTCAGCGCGACGCCCTCGCTCGCGTCGTCGAGCGCCGGCGGCGGCGCGGCGGCG